TCAATTCCTTTTGTGCATCAATCCTGCAATGATGTGACAGCTGTCAAGCATCTCTGGACAGTCAGAGGCACACCAAAGGAGACCACAGCTCACCCTGGTGGAGTTCCCTCACTGGTGGCAATGCATGAGGAGAAATGCTGAGAAATGTCACCTGAGTGCAAGAATGGAGCCAGACTGGGTTGGGATGGGAGAGCTGTGTGAGTTCAGGCCAGAATTTCCTACCAAACCTGACTGATGAAAAGCTGGCTGCTGAAATTTCTGTGTCCAGGGCACCTGCTCCAGGGAAAGCACAGCCAGCCCCCAGCCCCAGGGTGCACTCAAGGGAGGGCACAGGGATCCTCTGGGGATGCTCAACCAACAGCTCTGGAAGGTCAAACAGCTCAAAGGCACAAGGTTTTTGCACTGTCACATCTCAAAGGAGCCTCACACACCCCGTGGGTGCCAAGCCAACATTCCATCCAGCACTGATTCACTCCTGCCATGCTGTGATGGGGGCACAGCTCTGCAGTCCATCGGTGCTGCCTCGAGTCAGGCTGGCCCCTGGTGCTCACCCCATCCCAGGTGCTGGGGCAGGGGGCTGTGCAGCACATCCCATCATCATCCTCTGTGCAAGAACAGCAACTCTGCTCAGGTGCCTTAAAGCCAGGAACAAATCCCACTTCTTTCCTGACAAACCACCACCTTTTCCTTGTGTGCCAACTCCCTTCACCCCATCCTCTGTGACTGCAGCCCACCCAGGGGACAGCAGTGCACAAAGGGAACAGAGGCACCACTCTCTGAAGTGGCTGACGTGCATTGTGTCACCTCGGGGCAGCACCTAAAAACTGCCTGAAACAACCAGTGTCATCAACCTCACTTCACCTTCCCCTGCTGAAAGCACCAACGTGTGCGTGTGGGTAATTTGTCACGCAAGCTGACTTTTGAGAAGATCCCTAATTAAAGGAGCAGAGTCTCCATGGAGAGGTGTTATGTAAGGGACTTTACTTGCCATTAACTTCCACCGACCAAGGAAACCCGAAACTCAGCAGAGGTGAGGCAGAGTAACTGCACGTGGAATTTTTATTTAGCAGAGGAGAGATGAGCAGTGCAGGACAAGTCCTCAGCCATCTCCTGCACTGTCACTCACTGGCTGTACCAGAGGAAAGCCTGGCCATGGTGCCAGGAGTGTGGGAAGGGACTGAATGTTCATCCCTTCCCAAGGAGATGCAGCTCCGAGCATCAGCACCCAGCAGAGCATTCCCTGCTCTGGAGAAGGGAGCCCAGGGCAGCCCCAGGACAGCAGCCAGGCCCTGGCACCCAGGAGCAGGGCAGGCTCAGCCCTCACCCTCTGGAGCAGAGCGTGGGGCACCCCCAGGGCTGCTCAGAACCGCTGAGCCAGCGCTCCCCAGGGGGATGCTCAGGGTTACAGAAATTAATAAAGGGGTTGATGTAATTTGCAGCTCAGTGAGTTGCAGCATTTGTCAAGTTAATTTGTTGTCTGGTGCTGACCCCGTGGTTCCACCTCTGCTCTGTGTCTGTGCAAATGAGGGCAGGCTTCCCACTGAAACCCAGGGCTCCTGCTGAGCCGGAGCCACGAGCTCACCAGGCACAGCCACCACAAGGTCACCACCATCCTGCTCCCTAAGAACCTGACACTGTTTCTAAGTTAATTCCAGAAGCTAGAGCCCAGAAAATTTCCACCCAGCGAGCTGGAAGCAGGCAAAGACCTTCCCAGAAGAGCTCATTTGCCACATTGACATTCACCCCTGCAGCAAAACACGGAGCAGCGTGGGATTCAGGGTGCCACACAGCACCAGCCCAGCCTCCTTCCCGAGGTGAACCAGGAGCCTTTTCTCTTGTCCTGCTTCTCCCCCACACTCATTTTCTTAACAATGCAACAAAAATCCCTCCTACCAATTACAACAAGGAACGTTTTGAGATTTGCTTTTCTGCTGGAGTTGGCAACCACCTACTTTGCCTACCCTGAATACCGGCCCAGTGTGTACCTAATGAAACAGCAACACCTATTGCAGTTATCCCTTCCCAGCATCATGGGGATCTGTTCTCCCACTGAAGCTCATGGGAGTTACCCGGGAACTCCCATTATTAACCATATTACAATCATCATGTGCAAGTTCCCGTGTGTTGGTACAAACCTTCTGCTGCACTCCAGGCGGAATCAATTTCCCGTGTGAAAACCTGGAGTTAGGAAAATGCCATGCAGGGGTGACACATTGCTGGCTTTGCTGCCAAAGAGTCTTTTTTACATAACCTGTCCCTAATCCCACCACTTTCCTATTCTCAAAGGCCTGTAGATGGAGGCAATTGAAGTTCAGCAGAAATTATTCAAACTGAGCACAGAACAAACTTGTTTGGAACACTATCAACCAAAAGCTGTGAATAATAAACAAAAAAAATTGTGAAATGAAGATAAACTGTGTTGAACCTCAAAGACAAAGCTGGCTGGTTTGGCTAGGTTAACTTTCCCAATGACAAATGCATCTAATGCAAAATGAATACAGTTATTAGTCCTGAGGCTGACTCTTCCACTGGCACTTACTGGAAACTGCAGAAGAACTGCAGAAAATCCACTCTGCAGGTTGCAGAGGCTGCCAAGCCCTACCTACCCAGTCTGCAAAACTCACCAAAGAACATTAGAGAAAGACTGGGATAAAACACAAGGAAAGTATCAGGTTAATTTTCCCAAGCGTGCCTTATTTCCATAAGCAGCCAAATTTTGCAGGGTGTTTTGTAAAAATGAATTCCTGCTAAGGGGAGACCCCCACTTTGGTGCACTCAGTAAATCTTCACTGTGTCATAGCCAAAGGCTGCAGTACAAAACCCATCAGCTTTGCAGATTAGCAAGTACCCACACAGCTCTCCTGAACAGCTGGGCTGCACCCAGGGCCCTCTGCACTGTGAGCCATTCTTCCTACGTGGAGACAGCAAAGCTTGATTACACGAGTTCACTGTCTCAGGATACCAGTTTAACTTGGCCATCACATCACTCAGCAATTACCCTGGGAGATACAGTCCTGAATTAATGATTTTACTGAAGAGCAAGCCTCCACCTTCACTTTGATTCCCAGCGTGGAGCCAGCTGTTCTCTCAGAAGTTCAGCTTTGTGGTTGGTGTTTTCCCCACTGGAGCTCTCCTGGCTTGGCTCTCTAAAGCCCTGCTGAGAGCTCAGAGTGCTGAGGATGTGCTGCTCCCCACTGCCACTGCCCCACAGGCCCCCACGTGCTGGAGCCACTGCAAGGCACCAGAAAACTCTCCCCCTACCACCAGGAGTTTAACCAAAAAGCCACAGAACACATCAATGCACTGATTATGCTCCTTTTTTGCTTTTTGCTACAAAGTGCATGGAGTGCTGTAGGACGGAATATCCACATCCCAACAGCTCCACGGGATATTTTCAATAACATCCCTTCGTGCTTTGCATGCATGAGTAAGAGCTGCTGGGTGTGTCCGAGCCCTCAGAGCTCTCAGCGTTAGCTGTAGGCATCACAAGTCATTTGGTTCCTAAAACATTGTGTACTCAAAAGCAGCCCACACTGCAGCAGAGCCCCCTCCCAGCCCATCCCGCACCCAGGCACTGCTGCCTGCCCGGAGCACGTCCTATAAACACCTGCCAAGGTGTTTTCCTGAGTAGGAAAGGATGGAAAAGAGCCACTCTGGGTTGTGGAAGCACATCTGGAGAGGTTGGAGTGCTGCAGGGGCCGGCAGCAGTGCACGGTGTGGGGCAGAAGAGAGCCCCGAGAGCCATCCATCATTCCTGACTGCAGGGTTATTCCGCAGCCTCCCGGTTACAGACAGCGAATGCAAACTAAACTACCTCCCTTCTGGGCAAAAAGGTGTCTTTAGAGATGGACTGCAGATTTTCCTGTTGGTTTTCAGTGGGTGAGCTAAGGAATCTGCTTCCAACACGGATTTGTGCACAGTGGGAAGTGACTTTGCTCAATCTTTTAGCACTGAGGTCCAGCACAAGCAAAGGATCTCTCCACATCGGCCTGGTGCAGTTTGTTTTTCCTTCAAGCATGACAGTGTGAGGTTACCTGAGGCTCCCTGAGAGCTGTAAAGATGAAAGCTCAGCTTCCTTTACATTAGAGAAGAGCAGGAAATTTAAAGGAGTGACTGTCCCCCAGGAACGTTAATCCTGTCATTGCAGTTTAAGGTGACACAGGATTTTCAACACTCAATTCCCATTTTATCCTTTGCAAAGAAGTTTCATTCCAGAGCTTATACACAGGGGATTAATGAGGGTACTGATTACAGAGACAGACTGAAGGAGCCCAGAGACATTCCCTGCTCTCTCAAGGGAAGTTTGCAGGGACACAGGAGGTGCTGCTGCAGGGATGTAGTGTGTGTTTTAACCACAACAATCAGTTAGATCTGGTCAGGACTCAGCCCTACAGACAGACTGCAAACACAACACGTGCAGAGCCAAACAAAGAAGGATATCACAGATTCAATCATCTTTGTAAGCAAGTTTTGCTGGAATAAGGTTTTACTTTCCATTTAGAAGAATGTAAGAGCTCACTGGTGTGTGCTCATTAATCCTCACCAGGGACAAATTTCTTTCAGGGGACTCTAATCCTTATGGAAAACACAGATAGGAAGAACAGTAAGATTGCTGGAGAATGGTGGTGGTCTGGAGTTTACCATACACTTATTTCAAATTCCAATCTGAAATTTAACAGCTCATTGTAAAAGTCTCTGAGCACACTGCAGTTGCTTAAGTTATTTGTAAGAGCAGTCAGTAACTTACCTACAAAGCTGTTTTATTACACATTCCTCTGTATTGCCCTGGGAAAACACCTCAAGTATCCAGCGCCCATAAAAACATTTAATCAGTTCACTTTTGCATGGCAGACACTAATATTTCCCTTCATTACAGGTCAAAGATCACTCAGATCATTTCCCCTCCCGCCTCCTTAACCCTCTCCAATTTCCTGGATTTCATAAAAACATTTCCCTTCCCAACACACTCAGTCTCAAGATGGAGTTTTCCATTTCCCTACCTGTATCGTGGTGTTCCCACCTTCCAGCAGGGCAATGGCCAGCAGGATGCTCTCGTGGAAGACTCTGTCACTGGTGGCATTCATGATGAGATCTATGACCAGGTTGGAAGCACCTTCTTTATCCAGGTGGCACTGGACATCTGCCAGGCTCATCTCCCCTCTGCTCATGGAGCTCGACCCAGAGCTTCCTCCTGTAAAGGTGACCATGAGAAACAGGTTGGCATTGGTCCCATGGGGAGGGCAAGGCCAGGCTGGACAGGGCTTGGAGCAACCTGAGGCAGTGGAAGGTGTCTGTGCTCATGGCAGGGGGTGGAACAGGATGAATTTTAAGGTCCCTTTCAACCCAACCCATTCTGCCATTCCATTAGTGACTTTTTTAGCAATGGCCTCAAATTAAATAAACTTCACTGGATAACTGCCTTCAAATGGAATTTTTGCCCATCCACAATCTCTGCAGTACCACGAAATGGTTTTCTTTCAGAAATGGTTAATAACCTGACATCCTTATGGGCACATTTCCTAGCTATTACTGCAAATATTAAATTGATCAGGATTTCCAAGTACATTTATTCTAAGTACATTTATCCATTTATTTATTGCGACAAAGCAACGCCACAAACATCGAGGCACTCACTGAAAAGCACCGAGAGCAAGTTTTGCTCTCACCTGCAGTCACCCACGAGGACACCTTAAATTTTGGGGGGGGGGAGTTCACAGCCAAAGCAGTGAGGGAACAGAGCCCGATTTCAGGTGTGGTTTGTGATGAGCAGAGCTGTCGTACCTGCAGGGCCAGCCTTGCTGGAGCTGCCCGTGGACAGGGGCCCGTTGCCGAAGGCGGTGAGGCTCTCGCGCCGCCCGGCCGCGCGCACCGTCCCGTAGTAGCGGCTCACCAGAACCTGCCTCAGGGCCTCGCCCTGCATGCAAAGACAAGGAAATCGTGATGGGAGCTCCGTGAACGAGCCAAACACACGTGTTCACTGGCAGCAGGGCCAGTGCCCTTCTTGTGGTGAGGGACGGGGGAATGAAAAACCCTGGAGAGTTGGGAAAATCCACCGAGCAGCTCCTGGTGTGCTGGGGCAGGCTGGGACACTGGAGGGGTCTCATGGGGCTCAATGAGGTTATGGGTTCCTCCATGCAGCACAGAGACAGCTGCAGGTCAGGTTTTGTGTAAAGCTTTCTAGACAGATTTAGTTTTCTGAGAGTTTTGTTTTAATTAAGTTCTGTTGTCTTGGTCTTAAAGGCAAAGGAGTTGCATCTGTACAGCACCAAGAGAAACATCAGAAATGGTTTTAAAGAACAATTTAATCTCCTGACATCTCACCTATTTTACCATGCCACCAACCATGCAGGACTGGGCTCTGCTGTCCCTCCACCAGCAGCTAATGGGATCCACTGGCTGCCAAGGGAAAGCAGCTGAAAGCCAAGTGATCCTGTCTCTGTTCCCTGCTGCAGCCAAAATCCGAGTGATCCCACTGGATCCCAGCTCTTTGCTCCCTATTGTAGATGAAAGCTGAGTGATCCCACTGGATCCCAGCTCTCTGTTCCCTGTT